GACCTTTAATTTGCTTGATGTGTCTGTTTTAACTGTTTATTTTGGCTGTTTTCCTCTCCTCTCCTTTTCAGAACCGGGTCAAATTGAGAATCTGAATGTGTCAACAACCACCACCTCCATCTCACTGACTTGGAGCGCACCTCCTGGTCAGGTGTCCGACTACAAGGTGGAGTGGGTTCATGGTGGAACTCCAATGACCAGATTTACATCCAATAATCCCTCTGCCGTGCTCTCAGACCTGACCCCTGGCACTCGCTACACAATCACGGTCACTGCCGTTGCTGGAGACAACGAAACTCAAGGAGAGCCCGTCACAAACACCTCCATCACAAGTAAGTCGCTCTTTCATTTTTGATGCTAGCCAGCTTCTTATAGTTACGCTTCTATCAAGTTATTTTCATCTCTCAGTTTGGTTTGATTGCTCTAAATCTCGCCTTTCATCGTCCTACACTCGCCGCTCTCTCTCACTCACAGAGCCTGACGTAGTCAGAAATCTCACTGTCACGAAAGTCACAACATCCTCTGTGTCTCTGAACTGGACTGAGCCAGAAGGAAACAGCTCCTTCTATATGGTGCAGTGGACTGGTGGAAATTTAAATCAGAATCGCAGTGTGAATGCCACATACATTACTATCTCTGGGCTGACTGCCGGAGTGCAGTACAGGTTTAGTGTCAGTGCAGGGGCTGGAGATGAGGACAATACTGGAGAGGAACAAACAGTTTTACAGTATACAAGTAAGATGTGCACCGTCTGCAATCGTTATCATGCTACCATGATGTTGTCCTTCTGTGTGTTTTATTTCTTGCTGTGCCTCATTCCTGCAGTTCACACTAATATGAAATGTGAGTGTTACTGAACGTGTATCATCAACGAAGGACCATTTTTGTTCATTGTCTTTCTTATTCTCTCCTCAAATTGTACAGCTGCAGTCAGTAGCGTTTCAAAAGTTTGCTCTACATTTTTGCCCTCATTCATCCTCATGTATTTATCCTCCACCTGCAGAGCCTCAAGCGGTCATGAATCCCCATGTCATTGATTATACAACATCATCTGTGTTTGT